CCCCCCCCCAGTTTTAAAATAAAATCTTGACTGGTTATAATTCAAAATGTGTTGTGTCAATCTGGTGATCACAAAAGTGAAGGAATAACAACATTTGAGACCCATCCTGAACTCTGAGGGCAGTTGTATCCCTTCTTACAACCATTTCATTATGAATGTGATGGTCCTTCATGCCCAAAGAGATGTGGTCAGTGTCACAGGTCATCTATACCTTCATTATAGGTCTTGAGTTGGAATGAAGTTAGGTGCAGGTCTCTGCTCTGGCTCTTCACAGCGGGTTGTGGGTGACATTGCCTGCAAGTCAGTCATTTTGCCTTTACTATTTGCACAAGTCTTTTCCATAACACTGGAGGAGAAAGAATTACCCTAAAGGCCTAGAAAATGTTACTGAAATTCAACAAAATTGGCAGCAGCCACTGTTGTGGTGCCTGAAGCAATGTTTAGCTGCTTCTTAATTGACAGACTGCCAGTTGATGGCATCCTTTTGAAATGGACTAAGATAACCCTAAAAGAACCCAGCATTAATTTAGTTTGATTTCAAAAACTGCTTTATGATAAAATTCTGACCTGATCTATGCTTTGGCCAAGGGTTGGCCCACAGCAAGCACAAGCAGCCATGGATATTAGCATCTGGATATACAACTTTGTTATGGAAATACTAATAGGTCCTAAAACAGAGTTGCAAAAATAATCAACCTCTGGTCCCAGCCTGTATCTGGTGGAAAAGTTGGTTATTTTTCAAAAATAGCAAATTACCCCTGGGCAGACTTTGCACAGCCAGGAGTGGTTTGTGACCGTCTCCCAGTACAGCAATAGAGATACCCAAGCTTATATAAATGGTAAGTTGTTACTGCAGAGAGGCAACTTAAGCTCTGCTTTGTTCACATGGGAAACACAAAAAGGAAGCTTACAAGAACTGGAAACTTGGACAAATGAGTAGGAAGGAATATAAGGGTATTGTTCAGGCATGCAGGGATGAAATCAGGAAGGCCAAAGTTGCAGCTACCAAGTGACATGAAGAATAACATGAAGGGTTTCTACAAGTATGTTAGCAACAAGAGGAAGGTCAGGGAAAGTGTTGGGTCCCTTACTGAATCGGGGAGGCAATCTAGTAACAAAAAAAGCTGACATGCTTGCTCAGTGCCTTTTTTATTTTAGCCTTCACAGGTAAGGTTAGCTCCCAGACCACTGCACCTGGAAGCACAGTTTGGGAAGGAGGTAAGCAGGCTACAGTGGTGAAAACAGGTTGGGGACTATTTAAAGCTAGACACGTATAAGTCCATGGAGCCGGACACAATGCACCCGAGGGTGCTCAGGGAGTTGGCTGATGTGATTGCAGAACTGCAGACTATTATTTTTGAAGACTCGTGGTGATTGGAAGAGGTCCCAGAAGATTGGAAAAGGGCAAATATAATGTCCATTTTAAGAAGGGGAAGGAGGAGGATCCAGGGAACTACAGGCTGGTCAGCCTCACCTCAGTCCC